TATTAAAGGTTGCTGGAAAATGCACCCTCTCACCCCCTGTATCAACCCTTTATTTTTTTTTAAATTACTTCCCCTTTTTTTTGTTTTATATTTGATTCTCCTTTTTATTCTGATTTCAAAAATGTATAATACCTTTGGCTTGAAGTGATTAGTTTATCAGATAGACAATTTTCCTGTTAACAAGACAGTATCTCCCTCACCTTAATTGACTCTACAAAATAGGTTGTAGCATAATTTAAACTCTTTAAATATTTAACCGTACTATTTGTAGTACCTTTAAAAACCAAGAAACAAAAAAATTCACTTTTTATTCAAGTTTTATCAAAGGTTTTCGATATCATTTTTACATTTGTTTTAATCGGTTAATAGCGACAATTTGTTATAACTTGTAAGTAACAGCTTATTTTGATACGTGTGCAATTTGATCGCTGAAATGGTATACACTTTGCAAGAAAGAATCGAAATTGTAGGTTTATACTACAAAAATAATAATTTTGCAAGAACTGCTGCTAGAATTTTTAATGAAACACACCACAATAGACATGCAACTCATAAGTGTGTGATTGAACTGATGCAGAAAAAATTAGATCAAGAGGGTCAGTTTGCAATAAAAAACATAACCGACATGAACTTGTAAATAAAAAAGCAATCCAAGTAGCTGTTTTAGGGCAAGTTAACTAAGACTCTTAACAATCACAGTCACTGTCAACAATAAGCAGAGCAATCGGTGTTTCATCTTCTACAGCCTTCCGAGTCCTCCATAAATTTAAGTTTTATCCATATAAAATTAAATTAGTACAAGAGTTAAATGAAGAAGATTTTGATCGTCGTCGTCCCGAAAAACAATATTTGCTTCTCGGATGAATGCTCATTCTCATTAAACGGTTTGGTGAACAGATATAATTGCCGATACTGGGCTGAGAGTGATCCACATATTGTACGCGAATTTCACACACAGCATCCTCAAAGGTTAAACGTATGGTGTGGTATCCTACGTAATCACATTATCGGACCCTTCTTTATCACTGGAAACTTAAATGATGCGTAGTATCTTGAATTATATAGGCAAGTGGTTGATCGTTAGAACAATAGTAGCAAATGATGATAACCTTTCCGATGATTTGGTTGTATTTCAACATGATGGAGCTTCTCCACACTTTGCTTTACCTGTGCAATAATTTTTAAACGAAACGTTTCCCGGTTCTTGGATAGGTAAAAGACGACAGATGATCGATTGGCCACCTAGGTCACCAGATTGAACACCCCTAGACTTCTTCTTATGGGAGTATTTAAAAACAAAAATTATGCTACTCAACCAGAATATCTAGATGATTTACAACAAAAAGAGGTTAATCTTTGTAAATGGGTATATTTATTTAAAAAAAAAAAAAAAAAATTACAAAGATTAACCTCTTTCTGTTATACGTGGTATACAGCCAGCTACAGGAATTTTTCCTTGTGGATTTACAACAAAGAATAGAGGATGAATGTCGACAATTAAATGCAGACGTGTTAAGCAATGTCAGAGAAGAATTTCAAAATAGATTGTACTATTGTATGGAAGTGAAAGGCAGTCATTTTGAACAATTATTGTAAAAATTTTTAGTAGTGAAATGTTTGTTCTAAATGTGTGTAATAAAATTGTTAAAAAATAATTTTTTTTCAATCCAATTTTCTTGCTTTTGTATTTACTTTTCTCATAAACTAATCACTTCAAGTATCATGTATTATACATTTCTAAAATCAGTACAAAAAGGAGAATCCAAATATAAAATAAAAAAAGGGGAAGTAAAAAAATAAAGGGTTGATACAGGGGTTGAGAGGGTGCATTTTCCAGCAACCTTAAATATGATATTATGCCTCCCCTTCAGATATTAATTAAAGTGTTTTTGCGTTTTTCCAAAAAATTAGAGGTTCAAAAGTTATTTAAGGTGGATAGTTATTATCTGAAAAGCACTGTATATAACATGGTTATAAAAAGAGTAAAATAAAGATATGAACATTATTTCTTATCGCATATCAGATTTCTTGATGAATGCAGCATCGAAATGGACGAAGTGTAAGTACAGAAATATACTTTTAAAAATTATATTGTACTACATTTTTGCATATGATTTGATACAAATGAGTTTAAATTAAAACAATATTGCACTTTCCTCTAACCTTTAAAATATTTAACCTATTTTACTTTCCTTTGCAGGAAAAGAATATAAGAATCTCTCTAATAGAAATTTTGTAACGTTCCGTATAACTACTCAAACATCATCTGCTCTCGGCGTTCTTTGAACTATTGGATGGGCGAAGAACCACTGACAGTGACATGAAGTATTATCGAATGCGAGAGCAATATGTTTGCAGACACTCTATCTCTTGTGTATTAGCTCTAAAAAGGGTCTTAGTGACACCGCAGGCGTTTGACGTGTGTCCGCACTATTTAACCTCTTCCACGATTCTGGCTTAATTGATATACTTATACTTAGATACATATATACAAAGATATCTACATAATGTATATATAGATAAATTTATTATTGTTTGTTTGTATTAGTTTTTGCTCAATAATAATGGCAACTTACAAAAACATACTACAATTACCATAGAAGTCAAAAAATAGTTAGCAAATATGGTTACAATCATTACATTACAAGAAAATGGAAAGATAGATGAAGAAATAACCTAGAAAATTTGGAAATTGGGAGAACTATTCAATATATTAAAAACAACGTTCTATATAAAGTAAGAAATACATTACAATCCTGATATTATCATCCTTCCAGCCAACAGGTAATGCCAGCTCTTTCGTTGCGCGAAAGACGTTGTGCCAGCGTCAATTATTTCGTCAAAATGTTCGAGCTTCTCTTCTTCTTCTTCTTCCTTCTTTTATGTAGGCTTTTAAGCCTGTTTCTTCTCCAATATTACCCTAATAAATTGTTTAAATTATCGCGCCATCTTTTTCTTAGTCTGCCAATACTTCTTCGTTCATTTAATGAATTATCTCGTGCTATTCGTAATATTCTATCCTCTGCCATTTTATTAATGTGTTCGTTCCACTTCTGTTTCCGTTTTGTCACCCATACATTTATATCTTCTATATTACATGCTCTTCTTATGGTTTTGCTTCTCTCCCCATCCAACAGACTTTTCCCTGATATTTGTCGGAGTATTTTCATCTCTGTTGTTTCTAGCAGTCGTCTCGTTTTAGATGTGTCAGGTCTTGTCTCCGCCGTGTATGTTAATATAGATCTAATTGCTGCTTTACATATTTTTGTTTTTGTGTCTTGTCTTAGGTGTTTGTTCTTCCAGATTGTGTCATTAAGAGATCCCGCCGCTTTACTTGCTTTCAAGCTTTGTGGTCGTACTTCTTCTACAAACCGATTTACGAACCATCCGCTCCTTAAAATCGAGAATTATTCGTGAAATCATCGAAATTTAAACGCCCTAACAGCTTAAACACGCGCGATGACGCTAAAAGACTGCCGGCAACATGGCGATCGCTACTCCACCTCCCCCCCGTATATCCACCCCAGGGCAGATTTTGGATTTTGGATCTCCAGCTAGAGATTAACTTAAAATATTAATAAGAGGCGTAGGTAATATGGCCATCTTACAAATTTCCTATTATTTTTATGTTTAAACGATGTTATGTTTATGTGAAAGCAAGTAAAATCTTGTCTAGGACGAAAAACTATACTTACAAATCCCCAAAAAACAGAATTAGTTCAACGTATTTTCCATCTTTCACAAATTGGATATCCACTTACTGCAGGATAGGTACTTTGTAAGCGTGTATATCGGTATACAGAACTCAATAAAATCCCAAATCCTTTTCAAAAAAGAAAAGGAATAGCCGTTCGTTATTGGCTACGTGGTTTTATGAAGCGAAATCCTCAAATCAGGTCTAGGAAAGCACAAAATTAAAATCCAACTAGGGCACAAAAGCTTAATAAATTTATTGTAAAAAAATATTTTACTAAGCTGGAAGGTATTTTAAGAGAAATGGACATACCTAATCGATAAACCCGAACGGATATATAATATAGACGAGAAATGAGAAAAGTTTTGGCACAAAAAGATGCATGAAGAGTACATGTTGTTGTAAACGAACATGGACAAAGTGTTACCATCGTTTCTTGTGATAATGCTCTTGGTACAGCAATCCCTCCAATACTGCTTTTTAAGGGTAAACGTAGTAAGCCAGAATGGGTTGATTCATTACCTTCAGGTGCTGTTTTTCAAGTGACTGCAAAAGGCAGCATGAATATTGAAACTTTTTCAGTTTGACTTCATCACTTTCTAAATTTTAAGACTACTGGTCCATGCATTATCATATTTGATGGTGCAAGATGTCACTTAGATCACACTATTGTATAAACCGCCGAAATATACGAAATCACTTTATACTGTTTTGCTATTAATACTACTTACGAGCTCCAATCAAAGGACAAAGGTGTATTTAGAACTTTTGAATATTACTGGGATGATGAAGTTATGAAATATTTTTTTATCCATAGGGGTCGTGTTATTCCTAGAGATTTGTGGCAATTTTTCGACTGTTTGGGACAAAACAATGAAACCATCTAATATAAAATCGGGATTTTCTTCAACAGGAATTTATCCATTCAACCCACAAGAAATCCCGGAGATAGCGTCTGCTCCTAGTACTATCACGTACCAACATCATAAAGATGTGTCATTGTCAGAAACTAACGTTGGTAATAAAGCAGATGATTTTATCCAGTCAACTTCAGGCATGAAACAAAAAGATTACCGTTGTCATTCTACTTTGGGATTAAAATCGAAAAATAGCTCAAAAGAAGTATGTCTGGACACGGACAATAGCAACTCTTATCGTTCCTCCACTTCGGGTATTCAACCGGGAAACCGATAGTAGCAACTCTGACTCATCCTTTAATTTGCATGACTCTAGCAGCTATGAAGTTATTGATTCAGAAGACGATCAAAGTGATTCCTTAAAAATCCACAATACTTCCTTCACAAGTATGCTCGAAACTCCTGAAAATACAGCAATCAAGAACAATAACAAAAAGACAAGAAAACTAGCTATCAATAGTCGAGCTCAAGTTGTTACTAAAGATTTATTCGGTACCTGCATTGGAATAAGCGATTCAGAAAATATTGAAGTCAACATGTATACTAGAGGTGGTAAAAAAGTCTCGCCAATGCTACGAAAATTATCTAATCCAACAGAAAAATTGAAGTCCTTGACGGCTATGAAAAAGGGAACAAAAAAACAAGAATCGGTTCTACAAATTATGCAAGGAAGACAGAATGGTAGATATGAGACTATGTAGCACTTATGGCCACGAAGAGTGCGTGGGTCTCACAGTCAAAGACGAAATTAATACATTCTTATGCCCTGATTGTGAAAAATAAGATAATATTAAGTTTTTGTACTGTATTTGCTTAACATTTTATAAAACTGTTAAAAATTCTGAAACTATTTTATTGTTTTATGTGTTAAGTTTCATAGTTGGAGATAAAATTGTACTTATTGTAAACTGGCCATATTGCCGACACCAGATTGATAATATGGCCAATAGCAGTATTTTTTAAATCACGTCATAAATATCGTATTTTTATCAATTTTTTAAATACAGTAAAACCTCGATATAACGGACTACTTGGGAGAACGGGATGTCCGTTAAAGCCGAAAGTCCTTTATATAAAAATATGTAATAAATCAAAATGTTTTTTTTTTGAATATTAAAATGTATGTACACAGTATTTAGATATATATAAAAATACAAAATACAAACAAAAGTCTATTTAATTGTCTTCGGATATTCGTCGTGAAGTGACGTTGCTGTGGACATCGACGTGCTTGCTGTCGGTAATCCTGTTTTGAACAAGTTTCGTTTGCACTTTCGATGTTTGCTGTTTTTTTTTATGATCAACTCTCTAAAATTACGAAAATGCGTAGAATGCAGTTTAACTATTTGATGTATAATCAAGAAATGTTATTAGATCTTCGAGATGTGATCTTACGATTCATTTTTATCAGTCTTGTTTTGTCGTCTTGTTCTCTATCTTCACTTCCATCCTCGTTTTTTAGGTTTATAACGTCATCTACTATTACACTTTCAGTGTTGATGTTATACCCAGGGTCACCTTTATCTACTTCTAGCCATTGTAAAACATCTTCCTCAGCTACATCTTCTCCGCCATTATTATGTATTGTCCTACAGAAATCAGCAACTTTCAATCCTTGTAAATCTATTCTTTTATTTATGATTCCTTACTTTTTGCGAAAGCGCCAGAGCCATCCATCACTTGCTCTGAATGGTATGTCCACATGATTTGCTAATTTAATTGCAGCATTTTAAGATTGCTTTTTCCAGTGGAGTTTCTCGAGCCAATTTCATTCGTTTCACAGTATGTTTTTATTTTTTTTTACATTTAACCGGATTATTTGTCCGTTATATCCGAAGTCCGTTAAATGCAGGTCCGTTATATTGAGGTTTTACTGTATTATAAAACAAATATATATTTAGATAACCTAATAACTAACTCTAATAACAGTTACTTTTTAAAAAACATATTTGTCCACAAATATAGACAAATGTTCTTAAGGTGGCCATATTACCTGCACATACATTATTAATACATTTAAATATTAATAAAAAATATTTAGAAAGTCTAGTTAGTGTTAAATGGGCTCGGAAACCGTGTAAATTCACCCAATAAACGGTCAGGTTTAAATATCTTAATTGTCTGTTAATTTCCTGCATTAAAGTAAGGTAAGGTGGATTGAAACAGTACCTAGATTAAATTACATTTTTCATTGTTATTGTATATTTTCAGTTGAACAAATATGTACACCTCTTTATTACTTTTCGTAATTTTCATCGCAAAATTTATATTATTCATCGATATTCAACTTATCGACTTTATTAATATTTCAAGACGTTCATTTTATCAAACGTGATGGTTATTGCTCGCCATCACAAACTTATTATCCATAATATTCTTTATCATTAAATAAAATATAAAAAAAACATCCACTGAAAGCTTGTCATTCATAATAAACGACGTGCCCCCTCCACCATCCATTACCTAAATATACCCGTACAATTCTGATCGTAATCGCCTAGGCCGAGAAAAAAACAAAAAGTCACCAAAAACCCGTCGATTGTTCAGCGACAGGTTGAAAGGGTGAAAATGGTCAACCAATCAGATCGCAGCGACGGAAACTAACAGGCCAATAGAGTGAGGGAGCGAAAGTTCAGAGCCAGTGATCGGTTGCCTTTTTAACCCTCTCGAGTTCGGGGGCGTGCTCTGGGCGAACAGGACGACGGGGCATCGCTACAGGGTGTGCGAAGAGTGTAGAGGTCCTGGAAGTTTGAATTTTAGTAGAAAAGTGGTGTTTGAGGTGTGAGTAAGGTGTTGAAAACGAGCAAGAAGGTAAGTTGCATCAAATTAAAAAATATGTTTTTGAGTTTATATAAGCCTAAGACGCTGTTATTTAAAATATATTTTATATCTGATTAATAATTAAAGCTATATAAGTTTGTTGAGACTTGCTCGTTTATTTAAAGTTCTCTCTGTTTGTCCTATGTAAAAATATATGTACTGTCTTTACGTGTTAATGTAAACTTAACTCCGTTTTCTTATATTCTTTCATAGAATATTTCAACATTATTGACGTCTTGCATTCCACAAACTATTTTCAGATTGCTAAGTCCCTTATACATGTATATATATTTTAGGTTCTTGTGTAGTTTCGTTTGTTAAATATATAGATCTCAGATCTAGTTTTGTATGTTGTACCTCGTTATAACATTTTCCAATCTACTGCCTTGTTCCATATACAATTCATTTAGAGGTACTTTTTTCAACAGGAAAAAACAATGAAGAAAATAAATTTTATTTGAAAATATTTATTATCATACAAAAGAACCATTCCTTACAATTACTTCTTAAAGATTATTTCTTTTAAATGTTTGCTATAGTTGGTTCATTTTGAAGTTCCAATTCTCGATGTTCCAGCATTTCGATTGGTATTTCACCAATGACTCGAGTAATATTGGTCTCCAATGCCTCAATCGTATCTGGTTTATTCATGTAGACTTTGGACTTTAAATAGCCCCAAAAGAAAGAGTCTAGAGGTGAGATATCACAGGATCTAGGAGGTCAATTCAGTGGTCAAAAGCGTGAAATAATTTGTTCACTGAATCGTTCTCGCAGTAAAGCCATGCTTTCACGGACTGTATGACAAGTGACGCTATTTTATTGGAACCAAGTGTCGCCAAGACCACGAGCTTTAATTTCAGGTACCAAATTGTCCGTTATCATGACACAATAACGGTCTCCATTCACAGTAACATTCTGGCTGGCCTCTGTTTTAAAGAAATATGGACCAAGGATTATACCAGCCCAAAACCACACCAAACAGTTGTTTTTTCAACTCTTAAACTTCTTTGGGTTGTTCATCACCCCAAATATGGGCATTTTATTTATTAACGTAATTTTAAATCAAGACCCTTACGTAAAATGCTCCAAGTTGTTGCACATGACAAGCCAAGCTGTTGAGAATGGCGACGAATCGATTCTTCATTATTTTCGAGTACACTATCCGTTACCGCCGCAATATTTTCTTCGGTACGTGCGGAATGTGGTCTATTTGGTCACGTGCTATTCAATAATGAAAACTGGGTTTCAAACTAACTAATCGTAAAGCGAATTGTACGTTTGGTACGTCGATTATGTGGACCAAAAATTGCTCTAAGCACACGAAACACACTCCTCACAGAACTCAAATTTTCAAAATACAACTTAATAATTTCTAGACTCTGTGCCGGACTAAGTCTTTCCATCATGAAATGTCAAACAATACTGAACAACAGCGAAATATCAGTTTGACAATATTCATGCACGATGTCCAATCAAATCCCCACCAAAAAAAGTACCTCTGAATGAATCACCTAGCATTTAATTCGTTTGAAAATTATTGATATTGAAAATTTTCTTGTCTCAAATATTGCAGTGATTTTATTCTTGCTTATAATATGGGTACAGTTGTCGCCAAATATGAAGAACCAAGTTATGATACTTTGAGCACGTCCACTATTAGATACATTTGGTACATGGTTACTTAGAACATTGTGAAACAGTGGAGTGTATAATTTCATTCTTTAGCTTAACTTACACCCTACTTAACTTTATTATTCATTTTAAAAAAAGAATATTTCGTAACTTAACAGAAAAGTGCCTTGGCTGTTGTGTGGTATTTTTATGAAAAAATACTGAAACTATATTTTCAAGGACTATTTAGATAAACTAATACAGAGTTTTACAACACAACTTAAAAAACTTCTTCTTTAAGTGCCGTCTCCCAATCGGAGCTTTGATATCATCATCACTATCTCTCTATATCTACTGCTGCTCTGAAGAGTTCTATAGAACTGCATTAAAACCAGTCCCTTAATTCTCCAACCATGACACTCTCCTTCTTTCTATACTCTTTTCTCCTCTTATCTCTCCCTGTATTATCAGCCTTAGCAGTTCATATCGCTGTCCCTCATTACGTGTCCCAGATATTGTAACTTTCTTATTTTTATTGTGTTTATTATTTCGCATTCTTTGCCCATTTTTCGTAATACTTCCATGTTGATTTTCTTCTGTGTCCATGCTATTCTAAGCATCCTCCTGTAACACCGTATTTCAAAGGACTGAAACTTATTTATGTGTTCTCTACCTCATTTCTAATCTAAGGTCTTTGTTGCAGAGAATTGTTTTCATTTTTACAAACGCATTTCTTGCTATTTCTATCCTGGCTCTTATTTCGGTTGTTTGATTATTACTGTCTGAAATCCAGGTTCCTAGGTATTTGTATTTATCAATTCTTTCTATCGCTACATTTCCTAAATGTATGTTTGTTAGTATATTTGTTTTCTTTATTATTATCATGTATTTGGTATTTTTTACATTCAGCAGAGTTGTTCAGCAGAGCTTGCTATAATCACGGTGTCATCTGCATATCTTATGTTGTTAATAGATCTTCCGTTAATTATTATTGCTTCACTTTGAGATGTAATGCTTCTTCAAAATTGGCTTCATTCACTATATACATTAAATAGTAATAGCGATCACAAATCTAGACTTTTTATTTTCAACGATGGGAGACATTATTCAAGTCACTTTGC